TTTTCACCTACTTAGTTTATATATATATATATATATATATATATATATATATATATATATATATATATATATATATATATATATATATATATATATATATATATATATATATATATATATATATATATATATATATATATATATTAAAAGGAGAGAGAAACAGCAAACTTTTTTGTTGTAATGTCGATTTTAAAAATTTCAAATGTATATTATGCATTATTTTCCATAATTTGGCCATCCGGGTTTCGGGTCTGGCGACCTTTTTCTGCCAAAAAGTGGATATTTCTACATATTATTAAAATGAATCAATTTTCTTTATGTTTTTCGATGTTAAATATTCTTGAAGTTAAACATTTTCTTTTTTGCATGGTAGTGACACAAATGTCTTTTTTAAACTGGCAGTGAGAATGTTCTTCTGCATGAAGGACAATAAAACAATTGTATTCTTATCTTTTAATAACTCCTTTTTTTTTTCTTAGATCTTTTTCCATTTGTTTGTATTGTGTGTGTATTTGCTATTATGCGTATGTATCTGTTTATTCCCTCTCCATACATATATACTGTCTTATTATAAGGAATTAGCATACACATATATACGTACATACATAAAGTGTGTAAAAACTGTCCAAAAGTTCTGCGTATCCGAGCACTTTAGGCTATGCTATTAACTATTATCAAAGATTTTTTTTTAACTAAATATGTACATTTTTATATGTGTATCTATAGTAATAGCAATATTCTTTTATTTTTTAAATTCGGTCAGCAGAGCATGGCCGTGTTCATGTGTGTAGCAACAAAATATATATATATATATATATATATATATATATATGCATACAAGTGATATACATTCAATTATATATATATATATATATATATATATATATATATATATATATATATATATATATATATATAGAAGAGATTATAGCTGTTCCTATGAGAGAAACGTGTATATTTTAAAAAGAAGAAGGAAACCGCAAACGTTTTTGGTTGTAATATGTTTTTTTTTTAATATATATTATGCTTCATTTTCCATAATTTTGCAAAACGTGTTTCGGGTCTTGCGACTTTCTTCAGGCAAAGAGCGGATATTTCTATATATTATTAAAATGAATTAATTTTCCTTATGTTTTCCGATGTTAAACATTCTCCTTTTTAGTCTGATAGTGACACAAATGTCTTTCTTGAACTGGCAGTGAGAATGTTCCTCTGCTTGAAGAGTAATAAAACAATTAAGATTGGTCCAAGAAAAGATGAGGATAGATATCTGTATTCTTATCTTTTAATGACCCCTGTGTGTTCTTAGACTTATTTCCATTATTTGTATTGCGTGTGTCTTTTTTAGTATGCCTGTGTCTATGTATATTTCCTCTCCATACATAATATCATATTATAAGGAATTAGTATACAGATCTGTATATACATAAACACACACGCACACATATATATGTATACATAAGCGCACACACTTCCTGTGTTGTGTAGGGTTCGTGTGAGTGCTTGTGAGTAGTGTATTTTTTGGGCCAATGTGTGTATATATATATATTCGTGATCCTCAGATGCCGCGTGCGAGCGTGTGTGCATGCATTTGAGAGGTTCGAACAACATTTGGCTTTTATGTGTGCATTTTGTGTATTTTTCTGTGTGGGGTAATGATTTAAATTTATTTATATGATTTTTCTTTATGCGCTTGTGTTTGCCTGTGTACTGCATCTTGTTTGTGCTTGGGTTCTCTCTTCAAAATTAACACTAGGACACTAACCATCAATTAAAGTTACCCCACTACTAACCATGGGTATATCATACCTGATTTTGAAAATATAAAAAACAAATATTAAATATAAATCTTTATTTGAAATATTTTACATGCAGGGACTTCAAATTTTGTACCTTGAGTTAACATTAATAGGAACTGAAAAACATATTTAGGTAAGAAAATCAGTTACTGTAAATTGTAATTAAAAATAGGAAAATTTGCGCTGGGTACTATATATCCATGGTTAGTGTTCTAGCGTTAAGCAAATACATATTCTGCATTTAAAGAAGATATTTGTTTTTTTTTTTAAGCCAGACGGTATTTGTCATTCATCTCAATATCAGGAGATAATTTAATAACGTTAATAAATTAAACTAAAAAAAGATTTATATTTTCTCCTTTCAGAGTTACACAGAGATTACTTTCATTCAATGTTGATTATAAAATTACACAATCTTCTGGTTAGTGGATGTAATATCTGCGAAACTCTAATCAAAGGCAACAGCAATAAAAATTTATGAGATACACACACACACACACACACACACACACACACACACACACACACACACACACACACACACACACACACACACACACACACACACAAACACATTGAGCCAATCTATCTATAAAGGGTATTCCAATAGCCTGGACCGATTTGAATGTGAATTAAGTTTATGCGTCTAATGATGTTTTTCTTTTTCTTTTAGATTTGGCGGACATTGGGATGATATTATTTTTTACACATAATTTCCATGACTTAAATAATATCACCCAGTAGTGAAATAAATATTTTTTCACCAATAACACTGATTTATTTACTGCTGACTTTGATCCGTCTTAATGAAACACCCTTTACATACATATATATATATATATATATATATATATATATATATATATATATATATATAAACATTGAAGTCAAAACTTAGAGGCGACAGGAAGTTTCATAGACGCAATCGTTGGGCTACGAATATTGTTTTTTTATCGAGAAAAAAAACAACACTCGTGGTTTGACGATTGCGTCTAGCATAAAACAGTCTGTCGCCTCTGAGTGTCGAGTTCAATGTTTACTTTTTATATTTACACACGCTCTATCCCTGATATTATACCCATAAATATAGCACATCTTAAAAGTATATTTCTTCATATATATATATATATATATATATATATATATATATATATATATATATATATGCATATTTAACAACATAAAATTAACATTACCTCATAAGGCATACCCATATTTCTTACCTGCACAAGACAGTCATGCTTGCAGAGGTGTTGAGGTCTCACACTTATATACACACTGATACTAATATATACAAATACACACATCATACACACTTCCAAAGAACTAAAAGATAACATACACTTAACAAACAGGTCCCATTTCCAGCAATCAATAAAACTGTCAAATTGACTGAGGAGTGAATTCTTAAAGTCAGGAATCTCCCATCATCTATCTTAAACAGCTTGAAAGAGGCCGTCTGACCTACAGAAGAACTAAGGAAAAAGATAAAAAAAACAAAAAAAAATGAAAACTACAGATAAATTTCACTTTCTTCAGGAACAGTCATTCACTGTTACTAACAAGCAGGAATTTTTTCTCCTGATAATAGTCATGCTGTCTGAAATTAGTCCAGGAACCTAATTGAAACGAAAAAAAATATATCAAATACAACCCTGTGTTTCTAAAAATTTAAATTTTTTTATTGTTCAAAAGACACACATTTTGGTATTTGAATATTAATTGTAATAATTCTATAAAAATAAACATTAATTTAAAAAAAAAAAATTCCAGACATGTAAGTAAAAAAGAGTGAGGACAAATCCAAATAATTTTTTTATAAATAACGTCTGTATCTATCTCGAGTGTGTGTTTGTATATATGGCTATGCATTAGTCTGTTTATGTATATCTCTGTCTATGTATTTATATATCTCTCATCTGTGAATTTTATTGTATGTTTATGATCAGTACTGCTGACTGATATATTTTCTTAACACTACCCAAGACATCCTCCTGTCTCCAACCTTCCAGTCGAAGTGTTAAGGCTGGCACTTTATTTGCTTTTCGCCGAATTTAAGGTCGGGCTAAATTTAATTTGCCCTTTCTTGAAAGATACCTTCCACTAAAAACCGTATACTGTACGGAATAAATTACTGATAAAAATTTAAATAAATAAGTTGAAATAAAAAAAAATTGAAAAAAAAGAAAACAGGGCATGCAAGTCAGTAGACGTATTTAAAAGATTGTTTATAAAATTAAAGCAAGATATACATTGCCTATTAAGTATGTATCCAGCTTTGATCAAGCTCAGATTTACACAGCCCGACTAACCGCGTTAATTTTATTTCATTCTTTGCTTTTTCTTTCTTCTTTTTTATGAAGAATATTAACGAAATGTATTTCGGTCAATAATTTGAGGCATCGATTTAAAACAATTAATTTTGGATATTGCTGAAGTCAAAAATGAAAACGACGCACTACGAAAAAACTTTATTGGTTTGAAATAGATATACTTGAATGATTCTCGCGGGATAAGCCCGACAAACCAGAGTTTCACTGATATATATATATATATATATATATATATATATATATATATATATATATATATATATATAAAGGCACGATACGCACATTAAAGAGGAGGCGTGTTTCTGACGAGGAGCTGCGTACTTGAGATTGAGGAATGGAGATAACTGTGTAGTTACTTTGCCTATTGGACCTATTAAACTTATATATATATATATATATATATATATATATATATACATTTGTGTGTGCTTCTGAAGAATTCTCACACAATTACAGACCGTTTTTGGGATTTGCACAGATTCCGCTACCATTTTGAACGCTGGAAATCCAGAGGATGGTAACCTCATGATTCTCTACAAGTAGTGGTGGTTCATGTTTCTACCAATTCTCTTTACGGGGGAAATTGAATGCACAAAATATTGACTATTCGGTTAGCCCTATCATGTTGTTGGAAGTACGCTGTTAGTACCAGTCATCAGCACACAAATATTATGTGGTAAATTGTCTCTCTATGTGATACGCATAGGGGACAGTATGAGTTGTTAACTTACAGAACATTTTATTGGTCGTTCCTCGTTGCAAGACACTGATTATGGGCAGCAATTATTATAATTTGCTTCTTTTTCATTGATTATGCGTCAGTAACAATTTATCCAGAGGTAGATAAAACATATATCTATCTAGCTAGGTTTTTATATTATCTATCTATCTATCTATCTATCTATCTATCTATCTATCTATCTATCTATCTCAGTCTCTTTTTATCTATTCATTTTTCAATGTCAGTCTGTTCAATAACTATCTATCTATCTATGTTCATCATTTTTCTCTCTGTATCTATATCTGTCTGTTCATTATCTATCTCAGTCTCTTAATATCTATCAACTTTTCTATGTTAGTCTGTTCAATACCTGTCTATGCTAGTTTGCTCATCTCTTTCTATCTCTGTGTATCTATGCATGTCTGTTCTTTATCTATCTATCTATCTATCTATCTATCTATCTATCTATCTATCTTAGTCTCTTCATATCTATCTATCTATCTATCCATTTTTCAATGTCAGTTTGTTCAATATCTATCTGTCTATCTATCTATGTTAATTTGGCATCGCTTCTCTCTCTCTCTCTCTCTCTCTCTCTCTATATATATATATATATATATATATATATATATATATCTACACCCTGTCTGAAATTATTAAGCAAATCATATAAATTTGAATAATTCAAACTTTTTTGAAAAAAATTGTCAAATTTTAAACAATTAATTTAGATGTCAAAACAGAACCTGAGTTAAAATTTCACGTAGTATGTTTTATTGAAGTTACTTGATTCTGAAAAACTGCAGTCTGAAGTTTTTCGGTTTGTGTTTAAACTTCTGTCTTATTTACGCTTATTTAACGAATGAATATTTTGTCCAGTTCAATATTTTTTAATTTCACTTATACGGAAATTGTTCGACATCTTAAGAGAATATATTAAGCCCAGAAAAGAAAAAAAATAGTTATTGAATGATAAGACGGCAATTTAGGAGATTGTTAAAAAGAATAACAAATATCACAGAACAATAACAAAATTAACCTGAAAAGATTGGCAAAAAAAGAAATAAAAAATCAAAATGTCACCGGAACACATTGAAGGTCGATAAGCAAGAAAAGTAGATTTGCTGAACGAAAAATGGATAAAGCCTTTGCTGCGAATGTAAGCAGAGAAAAGATGGAGAATATTAAAAGTATGGCTAAAGGTATGAGATTAATCAAACTACCGTTAAGATATGTATGACAAAAAATGTGTCAGATGGACGGAGAAATATGAGAAAACATATTCAGTAGTTGTATTCTTTAATGATGAATGTAGAGCTACATTGGTTTGAACTGGGCAAGTTTGGGGTTAGCATTTTAGGCAGTAAAAATGAAATTTGGTGAATATGCCAAGATAAACGCACAATATTATGGTTCTTAGTTCAAGCTGTTTTTCTTTATTTTTCTATTTTTTTTAGTGGCACGGGTTACATGCAAGATTATTTCTTGTCCTCATCTTTATTGCCATGTTCATGACGTTTCGGACGTTGTACACCCCAGCTCTCTTCAGATGATTGGAATTTCGATCTAATCTAAGTAGTTGGTAAAATTTAAAAGCTCCAATGACTGTTGTAGGTCATAGAACGTCAAGAAGCCTTTGTAATAAAGTAATACTTTACCCAGGTATAAGGAATTTGTACGCGTTTATTAAAAATCCCTGACAACCTGACTAAGACATCTTCTGGATATAAGGAATTGGTTACAAAGTCCGAATATAAGGGGTTATATTTGGCCGCTATTGTATGAAAACAACCATTTAAAGCTACAGATGGGATTTGAACGCCGGTAGAAACAAACGCTGAAGATCTACAACAAAAGGCGTACGACTGTTACTTCGCTGGGCGTGTTATAACCCCTCAAAACCTCACTTCCTAAAAAAAAAAAACTATAGATAACCCTAAAATTCCCTCAGTAGGTTCACCTGGCTGCTTCCACCTTCCTGTTCTTTTTGTTGTCTTTTCTCCTCAATAATACTTTATATCTTAGAGGATTTATCGCTTTGCTTGGAGTGAAGTGGTTGACTGATTTCTGCTTTTTGGACGAGGAAAATTGCAGAGATTCGGTTGAAATGGCGGGTGTAAAAGAGCGGAAAAATTGAATCAGTGACTCGAGTTCAATTTCCGGTCGAGACAACTTTTGCTTCATTTGAATTAATATCATTGAGAAGAAAAAAACATTAACGCATTTCTTCCCCTCTCCCTAAGGCTGTGTTAAACTACAGACTATAAGGACAACTCTGAATTCAAAGGGAATCCATTCCAATATCTTTTCCAAGAACAATCATAGTAATACAAATTTTACAGATTCTTAAAGAGAGATGGCGTCGATTTCTGGAAAGTTAGACCCCCTAAGACGTCAAGGGAATAACATTTAATGACGGTGAGGATTTCAATCACTTTTCTTTTTCCTTTTTTTTCCATTCAAGTGTACGTTTCCAATCTTCTTTGACCTACATCCGGTAATGAGACTTTGGAACACTACACAGACTTTTAATCTTCAGCAGTAGGTAAAAAGTGCAGAATAGATATTATGAATAAGATCCGTACGGGATTCGAACCCGGAAACCTTTACGACGCGAAAAAGAAAAAAAAAAAAGAAAAAAAAAATATAACCCAAAATGATCTGAGAAAAACAAATTTTATTGGTTGTGTGTGCGTGTGTGTGTATAAACTCAAGGAAGTGGAGAGCGTTGATTATCAAGGATGACTTTATTTTTACTTTTAAATAAATGTATAGATAGTTTTGTATCTGGAGTTATAGGAATGTTTAACTCTTCCAAACACAGTCAGCATATTGCGACCGTGTTCATAGTTGATATTATTGAGTGTTGGCGTTTTCTTGTTATTAATAATGCGTTCTTTATTTTTAGTCATTTTTGCATGTGGATGAGGCTATTATAGTTGTATTAACAACGTCGTAGCCTGTAGATGGAGTTTGGCAGGTTCCCATGTATATTTAAATGAGACCTAATTGAGCTATAGTCAGTGAGATGTAACGTGAGTCGTCTTGCTAGGCATGTTGTATATATACAATATAATTATTTATGAATTTGAATTGATCAAGAAGACGTTTTCTTAAGGAACAAAAAAGTGTTGAAACAAAATGGCTATTTTTGTAGTGATTTATAAAATATTTATGTTATAATTTTCGAATAAATAATTATATATATATATATATATATATATATATATATATATATATATATATATAGTATAAGATGACGACTGGAAAGAAAACCTTGGTTTTTTGCCGACGCGTTTCGTCTCCCGACTTTTTCAAGGTAAAATGATATTGAAATTTTTTTTTTTGTTATAATTGTCATGTTAAACCAATTTGTCTTGTCCACAGAATTGGTCTGGGAATTTAACTATATTGGGGACATAGAAAGATAAAAAAATACTCTTAGTATAAAGAAAATTTGCATTAACTAAAAATAGAGAAGCAACCCTCGTTTTTAAATTTGGATTTTGTAATGTAATTCTAAGAACAGAAACATTTCAATTTCATTTTTGCCTAGAAAAACTCGGAAGAAAAAAGGGTCGGCAAAAAACTAAGACTTTTTCTTGTCCACAGAATTAATCTGGGAATTTAACTACATATTTCGGATAATAAGTGTGACATTCCTGTAATTATTGAACAATATAGTTCATGCCACATTGACGGAAAACCTACCAGTACAAAAGAATTCTCTTATTACTATATTTGTACAAAAACGTACAACCTTAAAATTTAAAATTCAAACTCAGCGTTGCGACCGCATGTTCCAAAACAATAACATATTTCTCATCGCATTATTTCGGATTACATCTATATTTTCGTTGTCCTCTTATTACCGAGAAGTAAAAACAAGAACAAAATCTATTTCCATACCTGAGGATGTCTGTAGGAACAGACGAAAGCTTGTAAAAACTAAAAAAGACCTTATGAAACTGGAATTTATAAACAGGGATCATATCATTCATATACAGGTTCGGGGTTAGTGCATCTTATTGAAATTGTTTGCGAAGATGTATTCTAGCCATTTAAATCATTAACTTCTATATTTGTTTTTGTATGAATGATTCATGTAATTATATATATATATATATATATGGTTAATATATATATATGATGACTATATATATATATATGTATATGATGATATATATATATATATATATATATATATATATATATATATATATATATATATATATATATATATATATATATATATATATATATATATATATATATATATATATATATATAGAAGTGGTCAGCACACACGCATATATATATATATATATATATTTTCTATGAAAATTTCTCGACATTCAGGCCGGTAAATGTTATTTAATGCTGTTTATTATAAACAGAGCATTTACTTAAATACTTGTATCTATAAAAAAAAAAAAAAACGTTAAACATAAAAATGTCTTTAATAAATAAATTGTCGGACTTTGTCCATTTCTTATATATATATATATATATATATATATATATATATATATATATATGCTGTCCACTGAAAGCTCACGGAAAAATAAATACATATTTTTTCTGTTTTTTTGGTTTGATATGTTTTTTGTAAAGATTCCAGAGTTGAATTTTTCATATCATGAGTCATTTTAATAAATAAAGCACTATTAGTAGAATTTCGTTGAGTTGGAATCAGGCGAAATGACTGTCGGAGGTCAGTACCCAAGATACCGGCTCCACATCAGTGTCACCATTAATGCCTGTTATATATTCTCTAACCAATTAGGAAAGTTGGCTGATGATTGAACCAGTTGGCGATGTATCTGCATAGGCGCTGTTTAAGCCACAGAAGCAAAATTTTCCATCAGCTTGAGAGAGGCCGTCGAAGACATCACGCGCAGAATCCTTCCTCTACTGCCATTGAAGTTCTTTTAAGATGACATACCTTTGGATTATGTGCCGTTCCCATGTTGTTCTAATCATTACCATGAAAGGAACTGGCTGACTTTGTCGCCAGCGTCAATAAGTAAAATGTTAAAAGGTAGTATAGTATTCTTCAATCTTTACTAGGCGCTCAAGCACGCATGTTCTTGTGCCATACGAATTTAAGCTATGATACTATGTTGGTTGCACACTTAGAAAATCGGATCAATGTAACAAGGTAGTAATGGAAGGCAAGAAGAAAGGACTTAATGTTAATTATGAGAAGACAATGCATAGTCATCGACAAGAAACAATCATCGAACTTAAGCAACGTCGAGCCTGGCCAGTATTTAGATAGGTGACCGCTTGGGAATACCAGGAAAGCTTGGATGTGCGGGTGGTGTAATAGATAAGGACTCAGAATTATTGATCGGAGAGCAGAGTTCCCATTTCATTTGGGTTATGCATATTGACTTACGCGCAAATGGCATTTTCCAATTTCTTATTACTTTGCTTAATTTCTGGATGACATAGATTCAACAGACATTGTTCGATGGATCGATAGATAGATAGAGAGAGAGAGAGGGGGGATATAAACAGGCATAGATATATAGTAGGATAGATAGAGAGA